AGCTTACCAATTCCTGCATCAATATCCCTCCTCATATCTGTTAGACTGTTCCATTTCATTTTTGTTGAAATACTAGAAGCAAGTCATTGCTAAAATCAAAACATGATGCCCAGAAACAGAAAGGAAAGCATTTCCAAGTCAAATAAGCGCCTGATCCAATTCAAATTCCATGCCACACTCAAAGTTACATGTTCTTACCGATGCTGAGATGTCTGCATTCGACAGGATACAGAGTAGAAATAGCTTATAAATTATCCAGCCCATGTGTACAAAGTCAGAATGCTCCTACTCTTTTTTGGGGCAGGGTGGGGCGGGTGAGAGAAGGAGTAGAGGATGGGGACTGTTACATTTGATCAAGACTAGGTGAACATTCACCATCAAAGTACTCCTCATTCCAGTTTCGCATGTTCACCATTTTTTGTGACCATTTTTTTTGACAACATGAATAGTTTTTCCATTTGTCTCCATGATAGTCTGGATTGAGGACAGACTTTGAATGAAGTATTTTGACTGCCTTCATCCCAACAACCATTTGGTGCCCCACTTAATACTGATGAAGTCCCCAACTAGATCATCAGTTCTAACACTTGATGTTAGTGGAGGAAGTTCTCTTTACACGTATGGCCATCAGAACCACTTGAATATTTCCCTAGCCATCCAGTACATAAACAAAACAACAACAAAAAAAACCCAAAACCAACAACCAAATAAAAAGTTAATAAATCTGGCAACGCTGTTCCAGTCTAAACAGATGTAACAACTGGGTTGCCCACATGCAACTTCTAAATTACTTGAACTTTAGTAACTTGTGCTCAAGCAAGAGACTGCCTGATCCAGACTGCATCACAGGCAAGAAGCCAAGCATGTTGTATAGAGGTCTGTCTGAAGACAAGGCATCAAGTTGAGGACTCTGGGTCCCTTGACCCACTGGATAGAGAGCACAGGACTGAAAACGATTGAAAACAAGGTTCTCCCAAGGGTACTAGAAGTTACAAGCATCAGAACTACTTGTGATAAAAATACTGGCAAGCCTGTTCTTACTTCAGACAAGCAGGAAAGAACTCTGTTAGCATACATGTAACCTATGCCCAAACAAAACAAAATTTCCTCCTCCAAATTTTGAAAAAACTAGGTTTTCAAAGATTCATTTCTTCTCTTCAGCTCCAGTTTCACTGCGCTTTGGTTATATACAATATACTGTGCCTTTACATATCTCTAAGGCAGGAAAACTAGTGCATAGTAGGCTTGAAGGTAGGGAGAGGGACTGAACACATCCAAGCTCTCCCAGCTTGTCCCAACAAGGAGTCAGACTGTAAAGCTCCAAGTTCCCAAAAAGCTGCAGTTCAGTAAATGAGTCTAGGACTAGCCACAGTAAAGCAAGCTTCTGCCATTGTGCTAAGAGATAACCCACCTACTTCCTGATACTTGCCTAAAATCTGCTACAGCAGCTTTCTCCTGGTCCCAAGAGAACCCCAGTTCAGAAGCTATGCTCTAGGCAGACAAGCCTCAAGTATTCAAGGAAAGCCTTATACTAGCTACAATAAGCAAAAATACAGTTATTGCTGTATCCCCCTGCCAAAAATAAAAATACCCCCACACTCAAATGCCACTAAAAACAAAACAATCGACCAAAACCATACAATTATTGGTAAGCTAGTGGCACAGAAGCCCCTTCTTTTGATGTCTACCAAGAGACTTATTCATATGAAGGTATATTCTAAAAGGAACCTAAGAACACAATGAGACTAGGAGTTTTGTTAACTGTGCATTTCAAATACATCACAAAACCTTGTGTTTCTATTACGCAAAAATAATTTCAGCTCAATTTCCGTATTATATCCTACATATATATATATATGCCTTTGAAGAGTTTTAAGGAATCTAGGCCTCTTCACCTAATAGCATCAGAAAACTGTATTATATCCTACATATATATATATGCCTTTGAAGAGTTTCATAAGGAATCTAGGCCTCTTCACCTAATAGCATCAGAAAACAGGGAAACATGGAAACTGACAAGAAAAGAGCAATCATAAGAAATGCCTTCACAGAGTAATCAGACTTCTTTTTTCCAAGGCTCTCCAAACCCTCAGAAAGACAGAGGTCTGCCCAGCTGCAGAAGCTACAGCTAAGGTGTTTCTGAACAACTTCAGTTTAATCCAGTGGTGGCTCTAGGACTACCTTTAAAGGCAGATCCCAAGGGCAGTCCCTGCTTTGCACTCAAAACTTCTCAATGCTTAGTGTTTGGAAGGGGCTGTAGGGTCGCAACACCTCATTGAACCAACCCAGCAGCATCCCTGTAAAGCCAAGAGATGCTGGAGGTGTGCGAAGTCG